GGTAGGGGTGGGGGTGGGAAGTGGGGGACAGGCTGGGTCAAATTGTCCTTGGCTTTAGTGCCTTTTAAATGCTAATGCCTCAGGTCTCTGGGAAAGAATAATTTGTTAAGCCAGGCTTTACCTATCAACTTTGTGTGTGTGTCTGAGTCTTAAAAGACCGACGCACTGTTTTCGTGGTGCCTGGTCTTGACTTGCATAAAGCCTAATGGCTCCAAGGGAGTTACAGTTCCCACCGGTCTGGGCTCCTCACCATGTCCTGCTCTCATTTGCCCTTACTGTCTTGCTGCTATTTTAGTGTTACGATGCAGCAGTATCAAGTCACAGTTCCTTCTTTACCTTCCTATTCTGAGCCCACCCTACTCCCACTTCTGCCATGTCCCTGGCAGGTTTGCAGAGACTCACTGTAGCTTTGTCCTTTTAAAAACATTAAATGCAAATGAGACTGCAATCCAATTAAACATTGTCCGGAGACAGCGCAGCTCTCTGGAGCAGCTCTGAAACTAATGGGAGATTATTTCGTGGCAGAGCGACATGGCTCAGATTGGAATCTGTTTTCTGAAGATACCAGATAACTCGACCCTGCTTCCTGAGCCCAGCCTGGTTTGGCATTTGGTGGATACCTCCTGCCGTAACTGGGTGCCAGCTTGCCCTGAAGCACTGTTGAGCCAGCAGCTACTGTTCGTGCCAAATACAAATTGTTCAAGGCTTGCGTTCTCTTTTTTTTGCTGCACATGGCAGGGATTTACACTTTTTCCAAGAGCTACCATGAAGTCCATAGCAGCAGAAACAATAGAAAAATAACCCGCATCAGATCAACAGTGGAAAAGAAATGTTTGAGTTATCCAGTATAGCTGAACAACTGCGATGTGGCTGTGTTGGGAGTGTCCCAACATTTGCATGTATGGAACCTGTTTGTAAATGCAACACTGACATTGGGTTGACAGGGCTCCTCAGCCTTTGCCGGGTGGGAGATGCACAGCAGGAGGCTTGTGGAAAGCTCAGGCTGTAACTGTGCTTTGTCATGCTAGTGTATGTTTGGGAAACGACTGCAGGTTTGTGCCAATGTTAGTCACTAAAAAGCCATTTACTCTATGATGCCCCTCAAACCAGAACTTTACTGACTTCATCCCCTTTCTGACTTCAGCATTGCTGCCTGGCTCTTCATACCTCAAGAAGACCTCAAGACAGTATAAGCAGGACAAAAAATAACCATAAGTGGTAAGAAGGAAAGGGAAATGCCCTGAACGAAACAGCCAAGCTCCCAGCCAGAGCCCAGCCCAGTAAGTACCTTGTCCACAAAGTTTGGTTCAATAACGTTCTGCTTCTCACTTTCAGTAGCTGCTTCAATAGTGACAAAGAAAATGTTGATCCCTGATTCTCTGGCCAGCCTGGAGGCCTCCTCCACTCGGTCCGTCGGCCACCCGTCCACTATCACTACAACCACGTTGGGTGCTCCACCTCGGTTTCCATTAGCATCCAAAAAGAAGTTTTTGTTAACAAATGAAAGTGCCTTCCCTGGAATGAAAGAGGAGATGAGGATGAGTTACAGGTCTAGAAGCACTCTGCCTGATAATATCTGACGAAACGGTAGGCAGAGGGCTGATTCAAGTAATGGAGCCCTGCTGAGAGCCAGGGAAAGCGGTTTCTGTGGCTTTGAGAGCAGGAGGGGAGGTCGCTGCTGTCGGTGCAAGTGCCTCCTGAGCCCTCCTGAACCCCATCTCCCCCTCCCTGTGCCTCAGAGGGGCTGGGGGTGACAAGCTGGGTTAACAAGGATCCCTAACACAGGTCTGTGGGACCTGCCCACGAGGAGAAAAGTAAATCCTGTCCACTTGTGACAGGCTTGCAGCACCCTGGACAATTGCAGGCAGGTCATGGTAGGAGCGGTACCCCCTCGCCAGCCCTGCCCAAGCGCTGAGCACCTTTCAGTCACATCATCCGTACCCAGTGAGGAGGTGTGGGCTCACTACAGCCCAGGCTCTGGAGCCCTCCCCGAGCTGAGGATGTGCAAGCAGCCCCACCACCTACCAGCGTTGGAAAGTCCACCTTTCTGTGGGATTTTCTCAATGGCGTTTCTTAAGTCCTTGGAGTTGGCATAAGTTTTTAAGTTAAATTCTGTGGAAGGGTCATCGCTAAAAGAAGAAATGAGAGCAATTGTCAATTTTTTGCTTCACATGCAACAATACAAAAGCTGTAGGACCTGTCTGTGTTAGCCGGCTCCTGAGTGCGAGCTGGAGTGAGACCTTTAGCATGCGTCAGCAACAGAGCTACGGCTGCCAGAGTGCAGTCGTGCCCCATGGCAATGGGAGTAGCTGCACGAGAAGCTCTTACCCATACTGAACGATGCCCATCAGAGGACCAGCGCTGCCGATGCCAAGGGCTTGAGCCACGTTACCGAGAAACTGCTTCTGGAGCTGAAAACGACGTTTACCAATGCTCCAGCTCCCGTCCATCAAGAAGGACAAATCAACCTTGCAATCTGAGGAGAGACACAGAAACATGGAAAATATTTTTAGTCCTTTCTGGTAGCTGTGCTTCTTGTGAGGAGCAAAAGCCTAAAAAGTCTGCACCCAGTGACTTGTCCTGCTGCGCAAACTCTATCAAAAAGCCTTTGACAAGGACAAGTCACAGCTGGGAGCTCAAGTCTGTCCTGCTCATTGGTAAACACAGTCCTTGGCATGATTTTCTCCCATACAACATCCAAGCCTGGCTGGGTGACAAAAGGGCAAGAAGCTGTCCCCAGGGGCCAGTCTGGGAGCACCGTGTTTGGGGGCTAGGGAGGAGAGGTCAGCTGCGCAGGAGCAAGCTGGCTCGTGTCCTGTGCCTTCAGAACGGCGGCTTGGGCTCGGCCTGCTTTATTCACATCCCAGAGGTTTGAGAGTTTGTAAAGGCAGATGTGACCCTTGGATTTTGCGGTCCGGCCACCTGCAAAGCACAGACTACAGGGATTTCCTTGGTTATGCTTTTGTGGGCTTAATTGATATAATAGACATAACAGGAACAGTTCTTCACATACTGTGTTAATGCTGCTCAGAAGGGAGGGAAGACCCACTCAATTCCCTAAACATGTGATGCCCAGGATGTGCCTCGGGGCAAAGGACATCGTGGGGTCTCTTGAAGGAGCTGCTGACAGCAATCCTGGCGACTCTGCCCTTCTGAATGAGAATCGTTCGGCAGCTTCATTCTGGGCTGGAGCTAATATCGGGATGATGATTTCGCTTGGTGTGTTCAGACTGAGGGGGGGCTCTTTTCGCGTGTGGCTGTAGGCTTGTACCTGTGTGCGCAGCAGCAGCAGTGTGCTGTTGTGTGTTGCATCTCTGGGCTGAAAGCAATATTCTAGAAAAGCTACGCCTGCACCCAAACTCTTCTTTCTAATTACACAGATGAACCTCATCTTTGTGCTTCTGAAAATGCTGTCTTCATCACTGCCAGCCTGTTTTTACGTCTCTGCAAGTTAGTGGTAAAACATTCATCGGCTGGACTATGACCAGGAGCAGAATCAAAATTTGGCTTAACTAGAGCGCTAATTAACATTTTCCCCCTCCGGCATCTGGGTCATCCCCATCTCTTGATTTCCTTCCGATGATGCCTCCTATCAATCAGACTGTCCAAAATAGTGTGTTTTAATCATTAGGTAGCCTGAAGGCTACAAAGCGCCAATTGTTCTTACTGGCTTATGCAACTGCTGCCCATCTCATTACCTTCAATTTTTTCTCCCGTAGCTGTCTGTTTTTCTAATTTTAATAATGCTGAATTATAGAAGCGTGACTGAGAACCGTGTTCATTCTCAGCAGATTGTGAGGCAAGGCCGGGAACCCACAACAAATAATACCTCAATTAACGGCCAAGTTTTCCTGAATTTCCTGTCCTTCAAAGGGAGCTACACCATGCGGTCTATATGTGGGAAGTGGGGAGTTTGTTAGTTAGCAGGGTCCAGGCATGCAAAGATTTACATACACTTATATACAGACTTAATTTCTGGGGAGGATTTGGACAGCAGGAGTATTTCGGTGCTGGGACATTAGTGGGACTCTGCAAGAGCACAGGCTAAAGGCGCTTTGTAGGGAGCTGGGCGCTTTCTGATTTGCAGGGAGGCAAATCCTAGAGGTATCAGCGGGATGAGAGTTTTGATTCTGGTATGCCTTATCTCAGTTCAACTGCTGGAAACTCAGCTGTGCTTGCCTGTGGCTCTGCTACACTGAGCTCTGCTTTCCTGCAGTGCAATTGGATCTGTAGGGCAGACCCTTCCCCTTTTCTTCTTCTTTCCCTTATTTCTGTATCAGTTTTAGGTCTATTTGACATCTTTGATGGGGAAAAAAATACTTTTAAGTATTAGGAGGAGCATCTGGGAATATATAGACATTTGGTTCAGCA